GCCTCAACTGCTGCCAGCCTGGCACCACTCACTGGGAGTGAGTGCACGGGCTGCCTGGCTGGGTTTAAACCACGACAGACCGATAGCCATTCAACAGTCAGTACTCAGCGTTACTCCTTGAGCCCAGCAGTTCCAGCCTTTTTTCAGCCTACCTAATAGTCTGTTCTTCCAGGTCATACTTCTTCAGCTCTCAAAAACCTTACTAAAATATTTTTTTCTCACTGTTTCTGCATCTTGTATTTCCCTCCCTTCTCTTCATCTGTGAATTCCATCACTTATTTAGAGAAATTGTAAACAGTTGGTCAAAAAGACTGACCGTGTTTGCAGGTTGGTAAAAGCCCTAAATTATATTATGTTGCTACTCCTCAGCATAAAAGAAAGACAGGGCTTTTTTCAGTAGGGTTTAACAGAGTTTTTCAGCAAGGTGTGGAAAAGGGTGGAATTTGTGATACTTCTCAGGTGAACATGTTAGAAGTAGAGGAGTGCTTGTCAGGCTTTCTATGGATCCAAAGATCTCAAGATACTTTTGTCATTTCCATTCAGCCATGCAGTTTTAAAGGAGATTTGAGGGAAGTGATGATAGATGGTAGTAAATATAATAGTGAGGTCCTTTTGGGCAACCAGAAATTTATATCTTTTGACTAGAGGAATCAGTTCACCAGAAAATGTCTTAACTCACAGAGGTTGTAAAAGCCCCACCTTTGGAAACATTCAAGCTCAGGCTCGACGAGGCTTTTGAGCAACCTGATCTAGTTGAAGATGTTCCTGCTCATTGCAGAGCAGTTGGACTGTGTGACTTTTGTAGGTCCCTTCCAACATTTTTTAGGAATCTACTTAAAAATCATTTTTAATATTGACAAGCAGAGTGCATTATCTGTCTTTGGTTTGGTGAGGGTCTTGCAGTTCCCCTGCAGTGGTTAGCAGATTCCCCTGTCAGTCAGGTGTTAGCAGGCTGTTAACTGAGGTTCTACTTTCTTTCTTTTAATGCACATGTGCATGTGGAGTAATAGTAAAGCTTACATAGACAAAGAGATAGTAAGGATCAACAGCTGACATTCTCTTTGCTAAGGGCATTGTCATGGCTTTTATATAGTACATAGAAATCACTGAATTTGTTTCTTGTACTTCCTGTGTCTTCATCCTATTCTTCTGAAACCCATCGTAATTCGTATCCATAATCTACAAAAGCTTCATTGTTTTTAGTCCTCTGTCTGTCACAATCTCATTTTTTGTAGGTTTGATTTCTGAAATCAAACCTGTGTACACACTGACTGGATGCTGACAAGATATGGAAGTATTCTGTGGTTTCCCTGATGAAAGTAAAATCTAGGTCTGCAATCTGCTTGAGCCTGTCTGTGCACCTGTTGAAGCTCAATATAGCTGAAACAGAATTCTTAGGCTTCCCTCCCAGTCATCCTCATCCCTTTTTCTTGTATCCCTTGATTATGCCAGCAGCTTTTCTTATAGGCTTGGCAATGCAGTTTTGACCCACTTGTGTCAATGATAAATGCTGCTCTAAAGATAATTTCCTTAGCTCTGTTTGACCTTTGTCCCTTCTTCCCTTGACTTCATCAGCTAGCTACATCCAGCCTGTCACATTAAATATAAGTTGTTTGCCTTTTTTTTTTTTTTTTCCCCCAGGGCTCTTTGTCCTCTCCCATGTCTGCATTATTACACCATTTATTTCTGGCATTATTATAACATTTATTTCTGCCTTTTGTTTCCAATCACCATAATGCACTTTAAAACTTTTAACACCTTTTATTTTTAAAAATGCTATAATTTATTTTGTAACCAGGTGCACAGTTGCAAACTGTCCTCCTTCAAGGCCCTTATAAAAAGTTTCTTTGTGGTGCCTATCAGAGGTTACCACGAGGTAAGCAGCTGTGTTATGCCATGACCACTGTCTTTATAATGGCTGATATTATGCCATTGTTTCTTTTTTTTTTCTTCCTTTTTGTGATCTGCTGTCTCTTACTCGAGGTGTGGTAGTGGACTCTTTTTTTCCCCTCTTCATCTTTGTTCATACAGTGTTTAAGAGAATGGCCCGAGTTGCACACTAACTCAAAGGGACAATATTGATTACTATGTCTTTCTTTTCAATCCATAAGCCACTTATTTGCGTACTGTTTTTGCAAATCTGCCAGAGAATAGTCTGCAGAAAACAAGTTTACTTGCCATTTTTCTTTGCTTAAGCATTCCAGCTGTAAATTCACAGTTAAAGCAGAGAAGCATGACGTGCGCAAACTTTCTGCTCTCTGGTCTCATTAAGAGCTTTGATGTCTTCAAACAGGTCAAATTGTGGGAAAGTCTTAGTGCATACTTTTCATATGGTGTGCACTGAAAGAAACACTTGTACCACTTGCACCCATTGCAATGTGGGGTTTCTCTGAATTACAAGACACATTTTAACATCTCTGTTTCTGTATGAGCCCAAATGCTAGAAAGAGCTAGTAAAATTGTTTGCTGTCTGTCAGCCAGCATTATCTCATATTGCAGACTACAAGAGAAAGTACAACTGTGTGTTGCAGCTACGGATGTGGCACTTAATGGAAGCCTATGAAATGGAGCATTTCTGGAAAGTATATTCCTCAGTTGCTGAGTAGTTTCATGCTCTTCTTCAAGCTCAAAATGTTACATAGGTGTTTATCAGATGCTTCAGTTCCATGACAATGTGTGCTGAGAGTGCAAGCCTACTCAGTAGAGCATTATTAGAATTTCAGGCTGTTCTCATTTTGCTCATATGCAGTAGATGAGTAGATGATAGACTTTCACCAAGCCCGGGGTAATGCAAATCTTGTATTGGGTCTTATTTTTTGTCTAGAGAGATTGATGGTGGAAGAAGCCAACACTTGCTGATTCAAAGGGTATGCTTTGATATTCTCCCGTCCTTCTGTGCGTGCTGCTTGCTGTTTGAGATTCTGAATTTTCTGAAGCACTGATGGAATCTCTGGAAATTATTGCCTGGACTGCAGGTGCAATTATAATTCAAATGAAATGATGGTAGTAAGAAGAAGACTTGGTACATTCTGACTGTATGTAATGCAGCAGATGATAGCTTGATATATTTGCAGTACTGGCCTTTCTGTATTGAAATTAAAGATTTACATTTTTTTTGGTGCAGGCTGCGTTTTACTCTGTGTTCAGAATTTCACCCTTATCAAAGCTTAATATGAGCAAATTACAATGTTGTCATTACAGTGCAATTTGAAGACTTCTTCCTGCTTTGGGGTTTGTTTTTTTCCCCTCTCTCTTCTTTCTCCATTCTTTTTCTTTCTTTCAAGGTCTTTTCCTTTGTGCCTCTGAGTGTGTGTGGTTTTTCATCTCTCACTGATTGCTTTTGGATCCAAGCACCAAAATAGATTTATTTTTTAATAAAAATACTGGAATTTATCTGGGTCTTTTGTACTCAGTCTGTATGTAGCCTTCAGTGAATGTGTCCATGTATTGAAATGAAAATAAAATTCAAATGTGCATTCTGCTTTGGCTGGAATGCACTATGTCATTATTACATTCTAGGTTTCATACTTACTAACCCGTGATTTTTAGGGGCTGTGACAAGCTGCATATTAGCTGCAAGAAATGTATACTGCTATCATCGTAACTCTTCTCTGCTTTAAGCTACTACATTATTCTTCAGACTTTTTCTTGCACCATGTAAGCTCTTGGAACAGCTTTTCTTTGAGCTTTTCTCTAATCTAGTCACAGAATGCTCCCCTCATCTTTGTGTTCTTGACTCTGCCATTAGCTAGATCTTGAAAAAGCAGTGGAAATGTCTTTGCCTGTCCCTAAGCATAAAATCACAAGTCTGAACTCTTTTGAGTTTTGTGTTTTAACTGCACTAGATCATTCAAGAGAGATGGAAGGGAAGAAGAGGTCCTACAAGCAAAAAACAATTGTGAGAAAAAGTATTATGTGTATGTGTAGGGATCAGAGTTTGTTTGGTTTGTGCTTTTCAAGTGTTAGTAAATCACAGTCCAAGAGGAGCATATATGTGGGCTATAGAGCATAGGTATACTTTCAAAACAAGATGGGAAATCTGCTTCTGAATCTGAATCCTTTCTGTGCCATTAAATGACCTTTGGGGTATCAGCTGGGCTCAGCAATCCCTGTGTGTTCTGCCCCTCTTTGCTCATCCTTTGTTGTTAAGTCCTAGAAGTCTGTTCATATCTTTGATAGATTCCTTGAGCTAGCCCTTTCGTTGCTTCCAGCTGCCCAATAACATGCTGGCCACAGCAGATGCTCTGGCTTCATTCTTGAACACATATTCCAGATACTTCTACCTTCTTTTTTGGATAGCTCTGGAGATAAAAGTTGTCAGACACTCTATTAAACTTAAGCATTTGTTGTCAGTTAATTCAGTTTGATTGAATATCTAGGATCTCCCAGAGGCATTTGATTTCAAAGGATATTTACATGTCACTCTGTCCTTCCGTTGTATTTCTTTATCTTGCATTCATATGCAAGATGAATGTTTGCAGTTCAGTCTGTGGATAATGGCCAAATAAGGACTGACTATGAATTCAGCTATCTGTTTGTGACTTCATTACATTATTTCCTCTGCTCATTTCCAGTAGTTTTCATTATACTTCCAGAGTACAGGGATAACTGATCTTTTGTATTCCTTTGCCTCCTAATACTGAGAGACAGTAGGACAGAATAGTTCTTGGCACTAGCTCTGTGGTGTTACATGAAGAAAGGATTTGATTCTTTAGGATTTATTTTTTTCTTTTTCATTTCCTTATTTATTGTTGTGGTGTGTTAAGAGACAGAATTGCCACTAACCCGTGGCATTAAGTGTGATAAATAAGCTTCTGGAATATCTTTCTGCTGCATTAACTTGGCTGCCTTCATGAGGGTCTGCCTGTCAGTACGCCATCAATTTGCAATTGCATGTAGCTTCTCTGGGTGTTTCAAGCAGGGAAATCAAAGCTTACTGGCATGTTTTAGTCTTTGAGCTATATCTGCAATGCTTTTGTGTAACAGTTACTTTTCTTCAGTGTTTGGCGAACAGTGCATGTTACTGCAAATGGGAATGACATTCCGTACATGTGCAGTAGCAGCTGGAGCATGCCACAGCTTCACAGAGGTAAGGCAGCCTGGCATGCACTTGAGGGGAAAAAAACCTTTCAAATCCAAGTGCGTTTTGAGGTCATTAATGTGTCACTGGCAGCACTATGGTTAGAGGGGGCCATTTAATTAACATTAATTGCTCACAGCTCATTGTGTGGCTCATGAGGGATTTACTGAAAAGCACCTCATAAGGTACACAGCTTTGAGGGTAGCGCATCTTCTCTCATATACTCCAGCTCCATTTACAGACATTTTTTCCATGCATGAGGCAGTGGTATCAGTATTATTTCTATTTACGTATTATTTGTGGAATGTTTGAGGTATTTTAACTCAAGGTGTGGCAGAAGAAAGGAGAATCATGGGCAGTAGCCAGCTCCAGCCTATATTGTGTGTTAGTCTTGTGGGTTTGTTTGTTAATTTTTAAATAGCAGGAGAGTAGAATGTCGTTTGCAGAGAGCAAGCGAGCAGATTTATCAACTCCCTTATCTCATCTCTTCACCCTCCCTTCCCCTTTGTTCACATGCTCCTTTCAGCTCATTTTTGTATAGGTGGTTTTATTTTCTGATAGAGACTGCATTTTTTTCCCTTCTTGCAGCTTGTTGGCTACAGAGAGGAAGAACTGACAGATTTGAAATAAAGGTAATGATAGGAAATGGTTCATATAACTCTGCCAGAGCAATCAGAGAAAAGAGCTCAAAGCACTTCCATATGATAGCTCCAGCACCAAATAAAGTTAGCAGATTAAGATGAAAAAGGAAATTAATGGTCCAAGGGAAGAACTTTGCTGTTTTATTATGGGAACTAATGATCTTCTAGGATTAGGAATGTGCTTCTTAATATTTATTGATATCTTAATCCCACCTGTCTGCTTTTTACAGCCCTTCAGCTGGTTTTCCTATTTTGATTCCTGTTCTGTAACTTTCAAGTTTTGGACTTGAATCCTGCTCTGATTCCACAGACCTCTCAATAGGTCTGATGGCACAAACAGGACTGACTTTTTTTTTTTAATTGCGGATTTTTAGCTTTTATTACTGTGAAAAACAAGTAACAATAGTCTGTAGCTATGAAAAATCTCTATTTTGTCACATCTCCATGTCATGTTTTCCAGTGAAAATGGGCCATGTCTGCCTGTATTTTTTCCTCATAGCTTTCATTGTCCTAAAATGTCAGCGGGCATACGTAATAACATCTTTTAAGTGTAGCAATGCCTATTTATCAATGCTTCACAAATCTTTCTTTTTAGCTTAGTGTTTTGTCTTTGCATTGTGTTCTGTTATTTTTTAAGAGGACCAGTTTGTATCTGAACTGACAACTCTGCAATACTTTTACATAGCTGCATCTCAGATCTGATTACTCTCTGTTGCTCTTATCATTTGTTGTATTGTATCTTTTTTTTTTTGGACAATGCAATTGTTGAAGAACAACTGTAGAACCAAGGTTTTATTTCTACATGAATTATTTTTATGCCATGGTGATCCGTGATGTATAATAACTAGTGCAGGTGGTTGTGAATTTTCCAAGTTTTAATGAAAATTAAATTACCAAACTTTTAAACAAATGTGTAATAGGAAAGAGACCTTTGCTTTAGAACAGAATTGGAAAACTCGCTCTAGAACCTCTGAGAGTGTAGTAATTAGAATTGGGTTTAGGGTCCTTGGTATGCCTAGTTTAGACAAAGAGCTTGCATTTTTGGTGTCATACTCAAATCCCAACCACTCCAATGGTGAGACCGAGAAGTTTCCTAGAGTTGCTTCTTCAGTGAATATTGACTATTAATCAGGTAGGTTAGTGTTTCTTGTGCTATCTAGGCTTGTTTTCTTTTGTGGCTTTAAACTTCAAAGAGCCTTAGTTATATTCTAGTGTACTTGATCTTCAAAGAACTTGACTGACTTTGGATTTGATACTATGTGATGCCAAACACATCCTGTAAAGTGTTGAGTGCTTCTGTTTATACTTGCAGTTTCACGCTAGCTGATCCTGTTACCTAATTAAAGAATTTCCTGGCTGGATCTCTTGACTATAGAAACAGTTCACAGGCATTATACCTCGTAGAGTGTAATAAATGCCTTGTACCATTTCCTTTTTAATATTTTTTAAAATTTGCTAATATGTTGTCATAGACTATTTGTCTGTCTCCATTTTTTCCCCACAAGTAATGCTTCTCCTTAATGATCATGCTATATGATTGTTCCACTTAGCACATATTCCCAGACCAATTATTTTACATTTTTCTGCACTGAACTGCATTTGCCATCTGCTAGCCTAATTACCTAAATGATCCAAATCCTTTGGAATCTGACTGTATTGCTCTTCATTATTTGCTCTGACTCCAGATTTTCAAATGATACTAAAATTAGAGATCTTGTCATGATTGCTATTCTGTAACCCAGAAGCATAGGTGATGATTTGACTAACGTTAATAAATCTGTGTAGCACTTCCCTTGTAAGTTTTGAAGGTAAATTTTGCCCTCAGACTATATTGGGTCACCACATATTTGATCTTCAAAGACCATGTATAGTTAGGTTTGATCCTGCAAGGCACTACCATGTATTTCAAGGTGCTGAATGTCTCCCATTTTTATCGATGCTGTCTAGATTATATGAAACTTATAAACTGATTCAGTTTCACAGTACCTCCAGGGGAGTGGATATTTCCCTTCTGGGGACACTGAGGCAGAAAGATGTGACATGTTTAACACACAGGATGTGGTAGAAAGAAGGTAGAAAAACAAGGAGATCTCATGTCTAGAATTTGATTTATCAGTCAATCATCTGTCATAGTATTAACTATAAATCTTGTAACAGTGTTTTCCTTATGACTTGTCAATGATCATAGGAAAGGTACATGACAACTGTCTATTTGAGGAACATAAATGTCAAGTAGGTTAACTTCCATATTGATGAATGTGTAATCATATCTGTAATTCATTATTGATTTGATTTTGAAAATTAATTTTGTGATAGGCCTAACCACACTTGGCAGTTTTGCAAGTTAAATTAACTGGACACACCTTATAGAGCATTAAGATACCTCACAAGTTGGTTAATATCCTAATATGCTCAAAATAATTGCTGCCAATGAAAACCTGTGCTTACACAGCCCTCCCCCCCCAACAAAACCCAATCCAAATCTCCCACCCCATAACCCAAAGACTGAATTGAGATTCTCTTAAAAAGTCAAAGCTTGCAATAATGATCTTAAACTTTGATAATTTTTCAGTTCAGTTTTACACTATCTAGCATGGAATCTGAATATTGTACTTGTTAAGGAGACTTTCTGGCTTGTGTGGTGCTCTGTGTGGAATGTACTTTTCAGGCTGGCATTTCACTGTGGAAAATAGTTGCCTCCCTAGTAATCATAGCATCACTGCTGAAATGCAACAGTATTGGCAAACCTTCATATAGATGTAGCTTATTAGATTCCATAGGGATGTAAGGTATTCTGCCAAAATGTTCTTTTCTGGTGAAACTGAGTAACTTAGAAGAATTTGTGTTAAAATATCCCATTTAAAAAATAGGTCACACTGCACCTGATTGATAGTCTTTACATGGTAGTCTCCATGCCCTATTGAATGACTGTGTGGAGTTCCTGCTATGGGTTCCTTATGGCTTTCTTGTATATAGGGTGTGCGTGTGTGTATGGTTGAGAGAGTGTGTGCAGATGCGAGTATGTGAGTGTGTATCATTGTGCATACACACTGTTCAAAATTGCCACCCATATATAGGTGTATCTGTGTATCATGTGGGCATGAACTGTGGAAATGAGCTTTAGGTCTAGTCAGCAGTAGCACAAAATAATTGTCAAATTTCATGATAAGATCTCTCATAAACATATTGCTTTTCTTTTGTGATAATGCAGTCTTTGATGTGTTTCTATCATTGATGCTAACTGCCTGCTCATGCAAAAAAGGCTTCACTCCCTGTCTTTAAATCCACTTATTTGTATCACAGTGAAGGGAAAACACATTTACCCCTCCTCATTGTTCACTCTTGACTGGAAATGCCCATTTTTAAGAGGAACTTACTGACTGGAGAAATTCCCTTGGCAAAATGCACTCCATCCCCTGTGGTAATAAATCATGGATTTACAGAGCAGAAGCTATTGTCACATAGATCTAAATATAGCTTTTGGCTTTTAAATGTTGTCTTAGGAAGGTTTCAGGAGGTTGAATGATGCCTGGCATTTTGTACTGTCACATTAGTTGTTTGCTTTTTCCTTACCCATGAAAAAGATAATTTAAAAGCTATACCCAGTACACTGCAGTTTTTCACACAATGGCACTATCAAGTTGAACCAGCAGAAAAATTACCTGTTCATGCCAGATGTTAGGCTCAGGAGGATGGCTCTTGGGCTTTGGACCAGGAAGTCCAGACAAAGCTCATTTTTCTCATATAAACAGAAAGCAGTAATGTACAGTAGAAAGGCCTAACATTCCTGTTAATATAGTTTCTGAAGTTTTAGCATCTTAGCCATGTTGGGTTCCTTCTGATGGGCAATGTGTATGTGAATTGGATTCTGGCATCTGTGTTGATCAACAGCCAAAGAAAGTATTTCCAGTCATATATTCAAGGAGCTCATGCTCCAGAATTCCACTGTGTACCAAAATACAGAGGAATATTTGTGTACAGGAGACTCGGAGATCAAGGCTCAGGATCTGGATGTGCATGTCCTCTTAAAAGCAATGTGGTACTCCATACCTCTCCATATCTGCCTCATTCTATAAAAAAGCAATTTGTAGTTTCTGGGGTGACCTGCAGGCACCCCAGAAAACACAGGCTAGATCAGGCTGCACAGGTGTCTTTTATTTAATTAAGCCGTTTTAGCTCTTAGTTAGAAATACTTCCACTTTATTTGAAACTTGAGCATATTCAAATATGATAATATTTTAAAAATAATTAAAGTTTGCAGAGTGAAGCAGTGTCCAAATCTTCTCATCACTTTCTAAAATTCAATAATCTGATATACATCAGCAAATAAGAAATGAAAAAGGGGTTGTAACGATGAGAATTTACATTTTCTTTGTTCTTGAATATCAATGATCAAGACTATAAATGGCCTTTACTGGATTGAAATTTAAGATCATTCAGAACATCTTTTCTTTTTCTTGTTTTATCTGTGATATCCTGTAGATTGAACAATTCTTGAACTGATTTTTTTTTAAGGCAATTTTGCATATAGCTGTTGCAGGGCATCAAGTCTTCTTTCGTTGTCTTGGGTTGTGCCGTTTTTCTAAACCCTTCCTGCTGCTTAGAATAAAAATAAAGAAGACATTAAACATGTGTAGGAGTTTATTTTCAGAGCCATTTTCCCCATAAATAATGTTTCACTTAAACAGTGTTTGTTATGAATGCCAGCTCTGATGCATTGTAGGTTTTGTTACAATCCTAAATTTTATTTAACTGCTGGAGTACAAACAACTATTCACCCCAGTGAGCCTTATTACAGTTATTTAAAAAAACAGTGTGCTAAAGGAACTGAGATGTAGTATAACACTAGTGCGATGGCCAGTTTCAGGTGCTATAGTGGGTGTACATAATGAGGTGAGCTGAGGACACTACATGATTGAATACCTGGTGGACTAAAGAAGTAGAACTTGGTTTCCAAGATACTCAGTGCATGCACCTTTGGGTGATGCCAG